CACCGAGACGACTCCCACAGCGGCACCTCCCATGGCGGCGGTTCCCACAGAGGCGGGCCCCACGGCCGCGGCTCCCAAGGCGGCGGCTCTCACGGCGGCCCCCGCGGCACCGCTCGCGCCAAAACGATTCAAAAGGCGGCGGCCCCCAAGGCGGCTCCCACGGCGGCGGCTCCCACGAAGGCGGTTCCCACTGAGGCGGCTCCATCAGAAGCGGCCCCCACGGCGGCGCCTCCCATGGCGGCGCCTCCTGCGGCGGCTCCCAAAGTTGCTCCCACGGATGCGACTCCTACGGCGGTTGCTTTTTACGCAGGCGGCTCCGACGCGCGGCGGCCCCCACGCACCGCTCATGCGCCCCCAAGGCGATTCCGACGGCGGCCGTTTCCACGCGGCGGTTCCTACGCAGGCGGCCCCCGCGCGCGGCGAATCCTACGCTGGCGAAGCGCAAACCGACCATGGACGAACTGTACGACGACCAAAACGCGCTCGACCAAGAGGGGGAACGGCGCCTCCCTCAGGCGGTTGCTCCCTCACGGCGGTTCCAACCTTTGGGCGATGGCGTCCACGGGCCATCAGCGTTCCGGATCCTCCGGGCCTGTAGTGCCTGGGACAGGTCGCTCCTGTCTCACTCGCAGATGCTGCGGCACGCGGCGAGGTGCAGCAACACTCGCCGCAGTGCACTGCGAGGCCCGTGCGGGTGCTGAACACCAGCGTGGTCGGCTCCACGCCTGTGCCCACGTAGACAATGATTATCCATCGGCACCCATGCGAACGTCAATCAACATCAACATCAACATCAACATCAACATCATCATCATCATCATCATCATCATCATCATCATCATCATCATCATCATCATCATCATCATCATCGTCATCAGCATCATCATCGTCATCATCATAAGCATCATGATCATCCTGATGAACATCATCATCATCATCAGCAACATCATCATCATCATCATAATCAGCATCATCATAGTCAGCATCATCGTCATGATCGTCATCATCACCAACCATCAACCATCAGCATCACCATCAACACCGTCATCAGCAGCATCATCATCATAATCATGATCAGCATGATGAGCATCATCATCATCATCATCATCATCATCATAGCCATCAGCATGATGATCATCATCATCATCATCATCATCATCATCATCATCAATCACCAATCATCAGCTTCATCATCAGTATCATCATCAGCAGCAGCATCATCAGCATGAAAATTACCATCACCAACGCCATCACCATCACAATATCACAATCTCACAATAATTGCCATCAGCTTCATCATCATCATCATCATCATCATCATCATCATCATCATCATCATCATCATCATCATCATCATTATCACCATCATCATCACCTTCATCATCCTCAGAAACCTCATAACCCTCATCAATCATCACGGCTCCCCCAAGCCTGGGGACACGAGGTGTCTCCCCTGACAGCCTCCCGTGACCCTCGAACAGTCGCCACCCAGAACACTGCGCTGGCACGGTGGCGGGACTTGCGGCAAGCCGCTTGATACTGTGTCCGCTGCCTGGGTGTCCTAGGGGACCTTGGCCTGCAAAATGACTTCATCGTAGGTCGTAGGATGCGCAAGCAGAGAGGAGGGCTGTCTACATGTGGAAGTGGCGGATGACTAGGAGCAAGGAATGTATAGTGAGTAGGAGAAGGAAGCAGGAGGAGTAGGAGTAGGATAAGGAAGAGGAGCAGGAGAACCAGGGCAAGGCGCAAGAGGGGAGAGGGACGGCAACGACCAGGAAAGAATCATATTCAGAAATGTGGCCCGTGCTGGGGCGAGAGCCCCATTCTGAACGGCGGGAGCAAGGTGCAGCCCTCAAAACGAGGCTAACGCTGCAGCGGGAACGCCGTGCTGGAAGCACCGAGGGCGCTCCGATCACACTGAACACATCAGGAAACAGCTTCTGAGGTCCTGCGCGCGGAGACCCAGGGGCCTAGATTGAGGAACACTGGATGGGAAAACGCAGCCCATCGGAGGTCTGGAGCCAGATACGGCACTGGAGAGCAAGAAGGAGGGGTCACGGCAGGTTTGTGTCGTGCCGACGGCGGGGATCGTTCAATCTTGAACGATCGGCCGTCTCCGCTTCGTCCAATCGTTCAACATCGACCGATTCTGGGCCGCCGCTGAGGTACAACGTTGAACGCCGGCGGTGGGATCGCCGCCGGTCGACACGACAAGAGCCTACCGCAGACGAGAGACACCCGAGCGCAGCCACGGGCACGGCGGGGCCGAGAGCCCCGGCCGGCCAGGGGCGGAGGAGTCCGAGGCGCCTCGCTGCTGTGCGACCGGAACTGGCTCGTCGACGGCGTGTGCTGCCACGGGTTCGGCCTGGCGGGCGCGCGCAGCCAGGCTCCCCGCAGGCGGTGGAGTCGAGGAAGGCGGGGGGTACAAAAGGGAGGGGAGGAATCGTTCCTCCGCTCCCTTCTTTACCCCCCGCCTTCCTTCCGATTCCTCAGGAATGGGAAGGAAGAAGGGGGGGAGCATGGGGAGGACGAGGAGGAGGAGGACGAAAAGGAGGAGGAGGAAGGGGAGGGGAGGAGGAGCAAGAACGGGGAGATAGAGAGACAGAGAGAGAGGGAACACACATGAGAAGATTGAGGAAGATGACAGAGAGGGGAGAGAGGGAGGGGAGGACCAGACAGAGGGAGACGAGGACAATGGCAGGGACAAGCAGGAGGAGACAACAACAAGCAGATGGAGGGGGGAAGGGGAAGCTCGGGAGGAGGTGGGCGGAGGCGCCGGCCTGGCGAGGCCGACCCCTGGCAGGACGCGGCGGCAGCGGCGCTGATCCCCCAGGAGTCGTCTGGGCTGTCAACTGGGATCGAAGTGATCCCGAGGTTCCGCGAATGAGTCGCGAGAGAAAGGCGTGGCAACACTAGGGAGGCATCGGGTGTTTTCCACAGCGGTCCGGCCCCCGTGCTCCTAGAGCAAGTCGGAGCACCTCCCGATGGCGAGGAGGGGGGGGAGACCGAGGGCCCGGGCCAGAGCGACGCCACGTCTCCCGAGCCCCGGCTTGGGGCACAGGCTGGCGAAGGCAGGGCTCCTGTCCTGGAGAGCCCGGCGCCTGGCTCGCGCCGTGCCCACCGCCGTGGCAGGCCGGACGCACCGCCCACCCCGCCTGCGGCAGTCGCGGCATCGTGCCACGCCCACAGAAGAAGGAAAGACGGCTCGAGGACAGCGACTTCCAGAGGTCCGCGCGAAGTGTTTGGGTCGGGCCAGGAGCGGCGCCGGAGGTGCCGCCGGGGGGAGGCCCAACGCCGACCCAAGAAACCCGCGCGGACCTGGGGAGGTGTGCGTGTGTTCATGCTGCGTTTCTCCTTCGAGTCTTTGGCTGAACTAACGCAGCTGCCAGCGCATTCCGAACGACCCACATAGGGTTGCAGGCGCGCCGGGCGCGTGCTCTGGCCTTCACGATGAAGGCCGGCCTCAGAATGGCTTGGTGAAACACAGGAAGGTGAAAGAACTGATCGTGACCGAAGCAAGGTTGAAGGTGAAAGAAATGATTAGAACCGAAACTTGGATAGCGTGTCACGGCGACGGCCCAAGCGACACACTATGCCTTTCGAGCGGATGGCGTGTCGCTCCGCTCTGCGGAGCGGGAGGCTGGGACAAGCTCGGGACGATGAAGCCTAGGGACTGGGAAGTGGATAGCGTGTTGTGTCGAAGCGTGGTTGGCCAGAACCGGTGGAGCGACACGCTATCCAAGAGTTGCCGACCATACCCGAAACAGATAGATAGCAACTTCCACCATTGCTCACAGGTTCCCGTCCGTATAGTAGACGTTGTCCGAGCAGATAGGGTCGGAGAATCGCGCCACATTGCGGATGCATCGCCCATGCATCGCCCATGCATCGGCGATGCATCGGCGGCGTCGTCGATGCATCGGCACTGTGAGTGCGGAGAAGATCGGGCTCCACATGGAGCCGCATCACCGATGCATCAGCCGTGCGGCGCGATGCAACGACCCTGTGTGCTTCGACCCCATGTGGGAGGCCTGGACATTCGAGTCTAGGGCTCCCAACTTCGCGCTTCGCGCTCCGCGAAGCGCGAAGCGCGAATAACTTCGCGCTCTCGCGCCGCCCCCCCAAAGGGAGAAAAGGAGGACGAGGAGGAGGGGGAGGAGAAACGAGGACCGCGAAGCGCGAAGCGCGAATAACTTCGCACCCTCGTGGGAGCCCTTGATGAGGACCACAAAGCCGACAATCGACGGTGATAGAGGAAGAGAAAAAACAGAATAGCAGAAGCCTTCCGAGCTCCGCGCGGAGACCTTGGATCTGCGCTGAAAGCCCCTCCCTGGCGCGCGGAGCCTGCCAGTGGCGGCGCCAGAGGCGCGCCAGGGGGCCCAAACGCCGATCCGAGGAATCCGCGCGGACCTCCGACAAAATATGCTTATGCAAATCTTGCTCCCCCGAAGTGAGGAGGAGGGCGAAAACGGAAAATGTCCGTCGTGCCGATTGCGGTGTTGGCTCCTGACACCGCGGGGCTAGCTCAACCTTGAGCGACAGGCCGTTTCTCGGCGGCGAGAGGGGGGGTGAAATGAGAAGGAGAAGGCCTTCTCAGAAGGCGGCCAGACTTCTCAGACGCCCTCGCGCCTTCTGACACATTTTCTGCGTCTTCGAAAAAGGCATAGAAAACTTCTCAGAAGGCTTGTGGACTTGCGAGCCTTCTGAGAAAGCCCGCCCCTCTTTACTTCCTCCCTGGGCTCACCGCCGTGTTTCCGAAACGTCAGATCGTTCAACATCGACCGATTATGGGTCGCTGGCGGCGTTCGCGGCGATCAACGTTGAACGCTGGCTGCGGGGTCGCCGCTGGTCAACACGGCGCGAACCTACCGCAGAGGAGGAGGAGGAGCAGGAAAAGGTGCCGAGGGCGCGCGCCTCCTCGAAAAACACACAACCACTGCACGCCTCGGCGGCGCCCGAGGGTGCCAACGAAACAGGCCCCGCGCAAGCGGGGCGGGCCATCAGAGGCCTCCTGGATGGGGTCCGAGTAGATGGGGTCGGAGGATTTCGCCGCATCGCCGATACATCGGCGATGCATCGTCGACGCTGGCGATGCATCGGCGACGTCTTCGTAGAGAAAATCGGGCTCCACATCGAGCCGCATCGCGGATGCATCGACGCGGCGCGATCCTCCGACCCCGTCTTCTCCGATCCCATCTGGGAGGCCCAGGAGCCACTGGCGGAGCAGGGCCTCGGCGGAACAGGGCCTCGGCGGAACGGTGCCTCCGCAGAACAGCGCCTGTAGGCGGGACAGGGCCTCGGCGGCACGGGGCTGGGGAGGGCGAGCCGCGCCGCGCCTGCTTTCGCGGGTGCCGCGGCACGGCGCGGCTCCTGCAGGGGATCGCTACGTGGGCCGCTGCGAGAGGAGAGGAGGAGCGGGTGCAGCAGCGGGCGCACGGCGCGCGGGCGGCGGCGGAACGCCCGGTGCCGCCGCCGGCGACCGAGGGTTTCCTTCGCGCCCGCGGACGGCCGGCCCGGGCGGGGGCAGCACTGATAGACTCTCGAGCCGCCGCTTTCGGGTGGGCGACGAAAAGAGACGGGCCCCCGGACATCTTTTGGGTCGCGAAAAAATCGAGACGGAGGTTTCTCATCACTGTCGGCCTCTCCAAGCCCTTATACTGGCCCTCGGGGCCGTCAAGAAACTGCTCGGGATGGCACACCGGTCCCAAGGAAGTGGTCTCGAAAGGTCGGGGGCCCGCGTCTCGAACAGATCGAGACGCGGGGCTTCTGGATCTGACTCACGATGGCACAGCGACCTTTCGCCGCGGCTCATGCCCCCAGCGTTGCACGCCGCGAAGAGAAGAGGGCGCCCACGCACTACCTGCCGCGGGAAGCCTTCGCGCGAATGTACGCGCAGTCGGCCCCATGTTCTTCCGTCGTTCGGGTGAGGGGTGCGTCTGGATCGGGGGGGGAACGTTGACTTGAAACCGACGGTGCAACGCCGACAGATCGGCGAGGGGCCCTCGATCAGAAAAGCTCACGCTCGCTGTGGCCCCGGGCCCCAACTGGCGATGAATGGGCGATTGGGAAGCCTTGGGCCAGCACCCCGCGGATGAAAGTTTATGTGTATGCAGCTACCCTTGGAGATGAGAGCGCTGCAGGGAGGAGAGAGGGCTGCAACACTATCAAGTACGCAACATTAGAAGAACAACACGCCATAAACATAAGCTTATGGCGGTCCGTGCGGACTTCTTGGATCTGCGCCCGACCCCCCCCCCCCTGGCGCGCGGAGCGCGCCAGGGGCCGCGCCTGAGGCGCTGCCGGGGGGGGGCCCAGCGTGGATCCGAGGAGGCGGAGGCGGAGGCGGAGGCGGAGGAGGAGGAGGAGGAGGAGGAGGAGGAAGAGGAGGAGGAGGGTGGACTGGCATATGCAGTGGCGACACAGCCCCGATAGAGAGGGCTGCAGGACTACCAAATACGCAACATTAGAAGAAGAGCAACACGCAATAAACATAAGCTTATGGCGCTCCGCGCGGACTTCTTGGATCTGCGCCCGACCCCCCCCCCCATGGCGCGCGGAGCTCGCCAGGGGCGGCGCCTGAGGCGCCGCCGGGGGGGCCCAGCGCGGATCCGAGGAGGCGGAGGCGGAAGACGAGGCGGAAGCGGAGGAGAAGAAGGAGGAACCGACTAGCAAAATTCCCAGCGCCATACACACCAAGGACCATGCAATGATACGTACCGCTTGACCCCTACTTTTAAACACGCGCGCAGCAACAATCGGTTCCACTACGGCACACAACAGTCAAACCCCATAACTACTACAAGCGCTACCACTGAACAACGGACACAGCGACGTTCAGAACCGGCGCATACAGACACATGCGCACTACGACATAAGCTGTCCCACATGAGTGCCCCTATCAACGCGAAATGCGCTAACCTGTACAGTGCCCTCCCATCGCCATATCCTCCTACGCCGTCAGCGCAGTCCTATCTCCAAGGCTTACTACGGAGATTAACATAGCACCTGACCAAACACCCACGCAGCACGCCCACAGGCGACGGACCGAGCAGTACAACCACGGCAAGAAGACGATACACCGATCGCCTCGTATCCTGTATGGGAGCCCTGAAGGGCATACCTGGGGGAGAGGCACAAGATACCGGTACAGCAGCACCGCACGGAGACAACAAAAAACAGCACCACTCGCACGGACCCAATCACAGCAGCAGGACAACGACATCCAACTACATTGGGCATTGCTCCATACCCTGCATGGGAGCCCTACGGGGCATACCTGTGGAAGAAGCACCATCAGTACAATCATATACTTCAGGTGATCTTACGGCAGATACATCAATTTCTTTACCACGACTTCATCATCTGATGTACTGCCTTGAGAACAGAGAGAACATACTTGCATCATTCTGATACATGGCCTACTGTTCGGCTAAGCAGACAGCGTATCCCTATGCATCCAAAAACCACACAAGCGCATGGACGCAGAACTGACCAACAAATACAGCGACGCACATACCTACACATGCACACTACAACGTACAAGCTGTCCCACATGCGTGCTATCTCCAAGGCAGAATACGGAGACTTACGCAGCACCTGTCCAGCACTTACGCAGCACACTACGCAGCACCAACAAACAGACGACGGACCGAGCAGTACATCCACGACAAGAAGACAGCACACCAGTCGCCTCATACCCTGCATGGGAGCCCTGAACGGCATACCTAGAGGAGAGGCGCACGATACTGGTACAAGCAACACCACACAGAGGCAGCACGATTAACCAGCACCACTCGCATGGACCCACCCACAACAGCAAGACAACGACACCCAGCTACAGTGGGCACTGCTGCATACCCGGCACGGGTGCCCTACGGGGCATACCTGGGGGAGAAACGCCATCAATACATTCAGATACTTCAGTTGGTCATACGGCAGATACATCAATTCAAGACTTGCACCACGACTTCGTCATTTTGCGTACTACCTTGGGGGCAGAGAAAAGGTAGTAGCATTATTTTGATACACAGTCCACTGTTCTATTACCAGATAGCGCCCCCCTTTACATCCAGAGGCCACTTAAGTGCATATACGCACTTTGTCTGGCGTCGGGGCAGAGGGTCCAATGCTCACACGCTTACTGCAAGATTTGCGTTTTGCCAAAAGTACACACATACACATCTTGATCAAATACCTTGCAACGCGAACTGCAAGGCCTCATACCCCTACATCAGCATCCCCCATACATGCTCACCCGTTCAACCACGCAAGAATCAGCGACACTCAATTGATGAGTTGACAAGTCTACACCAGCCAGTGCCAGTGTTATGCCTTCCCCAAGCCATTTGTGCTCAGCTTTCCATACCAGTCTTGGCTCCAGCGCTCCACAGACTGACGCAGCATCTGTCCAAGCACTACGCAGCACACTACACAGCACAGTCTATCAACAACGGACCAACGGCACAACCACGACTCGACTACAACTCATCAAGCAGCCTCATACCCTGCATGGAAGCCCTGCAAGGCATACCTGGGGGAGAGGCATACACTGGCATCAAGCAACACCACGCAGCCACGACACAACAACGCCCAGCACACACAGGCAAACAACGGTCAACAACTGCCTCACACCCTGTATGGAGGGCCCCAAAAGGCATACCTGGGGGAAGGGTTATGTACGACCACGAGATAACTACGAAGTACCATGGAGGCACACAACGAGATGCGACCTTTTATGCGACAGGTACCCCAGCTACTGATAGACATGCCCACTGTTCAAACACAACTAGGCGCCGACTACGCGCACATTCAGAAGTCCGTGACAGGTAGTAGACTCACAATTTAGTTACAGAGCCCCAAAAAATGCTCCCAAGCCTGAACGAAGGGACCCGACATATATACATGGCCGAAATAGACTTCACTCATCATCAGACCGCACAGTCGTCACAGTCAGATACACGCAGCCTTATGCATGGCACGGGGCCCCAAGAAGCATCACTGGGGGAGAGGCGTCGAGGGAAGGCCGATACATGGGCCCGAAGACATTTGCGAAGCTTGGACAGATTGACGAGACACCCATACAACATCTCATACATAGTCTCCGTTACCATCAGGGTCAAGCCGGTAGCTGGCACGTTCGCCTTCACGTGCGTATGCAGCTTGATGTTCCCGGCGCCGCCCCCTTACACTCCGACCAACAGCAACACGTGCGCTGTTTCGGAGAGTACATGGGTCAATGCACCACGGTTCGCCGACCCACCTTCACTGTCAGTCCACATGACATGATCACTCAGGAAGGACGCAGACATCACAACAGAGCGCAAATACCTGATCGACTCGCTGCACCGACAGTCGACCGAACAGTACACTGATGGAGGAAGCGAGACTACACCTCCAGAACTACAGAGCACTCATTTGTAATTCCGGTCATTTCCAATTCGGGCCACGAATTGCAAATGAGAGGTGCCGACGGGAGGGCATGTGCTCAAGCGCTACGCCCAACGTGTTTCCAAGGCGTCAGGGCGCAGCTTCTGCTTACGCTCGTAAAAGATCAAAATAATAACGGCAACAACAACGTCGTCGCCGTTCCGTGTGACACGCAAGATTTGCGTGTCACATCTACGCGACACGCAAATCCTTCGTGTCGCGTCGCCCGGCCGCCCCAGGCGCGTTCCGGGTGACACGCAGGATTTGCGTGTCACGTTTACTTACGCGACGCCGCCCCGAGCGCGTTCCGTGTGCCGTGACACGCAGGATTTGCGTGTCGCTTAGACGTGACACGCAAATCCTGCGTGTCACGTCAGTCTGAAGCCTCAAAGCCGCCGAGTGACTGACACGCAGGCTTCGCGTGCCGCGCAGACGCGAACGCTTCCGTGACACGCAAATTCTGCGTGTCACGCGGCCAGGAGCCCGTGTGACACGCAGATTCTGCGTGCCGCTGCGCGGCGTTCTCGAAGTGACACGCAGATTCTGCATGTCCCGGCCCTGGCCCCCGGCCTCTGAACCTCCGGGAGCGCCACGGTCCCCGGCCCTTGGCCCCCTCCTGCTGGGGCCCGCGTGACACGCAGATTCTGCGTGTCCCGACCCCGGCCCCCGGGACACCCGGCGCGCGACACGCAGATTTTGCGTGTCCGCCCCCCTGATCGATGGGGCCCGCGTGACACGTAGATTTCTGCGTGTCCCCACCCCGGCCTCCGGGACCCCCGGCGTGCGACAGAACAGATTTTGGGCCGGCGTGACACGCAGATTCTGCGTGTCCCCAACCCGGCCCCCAGGATCCCCGGCGTGCCACGCGCAGATTTTGCGTGTCCGCCCCCCTGGCGGGGCCCGCGTGACACGCAGATTCTGCGTGTCCCCACTCCGGCCCCCAGACCCCCGGCGTGCGACGCGCAAATTTTGGGCCCGCGTGACACGCAGATTCTGCGTGTCCCCACCCCGGCCCCCAGGACCCCTGGCGTGCCGCGCGCAGATTTTGCGTGTCCGCCCCCCTGGCGGGGCCCGCGTGACACGCAGATTCTGCGTGTCCCCACTCCGGCCC